GGCTGCTATCATGGAAAGTGAGTTTTTATAACACAGAATAAAGGTGCGCTACATTCCCATATTGGCGTATAACACGACAATGACACACGATCCACGTGCCCACGCATGCAACGCACATCACACCACGAACACATCGGCAGCAGCTTCAGCATACATGCATCGCTCGTAATCGGCAGTTCGGCACACGCGTATGCTAGCATATTAATTCCACTACCTCCTTACGGCATCCCATGATCTCATCAGGTGATTCGAAGTCTCAGACGTAGCACTCGTAGAGCTTGATGTCCATCTGCAAGCGGAAGTAGTAGAGGCCCTCGATGGCGTCCGTGTGGATGGTTGCGACGCCGCGCGCCATGAAGAAGTCGCCGGTGCCGCCGACGATGGAGATGTCCCGCGTCTCCTCGCCCATGAGGTCGGCGCCCATGAGGTTGAGGGTGCCCCTGTGCGCCGTGGAGTTGAACACGAGCGAGAAGGCGAACCACGCGTTGAAGAACCCCTTCCCGTCGTAGAAGTAGAACCCCTGCGCGCGCGCCGCCGGCTCCTCCTCGGCCCCGACGGGCAGCGCCTGGCCCTCCGTCACCGGGTCGTCGAACACCACCAGCATGCCGAAGTAGGTGTCGTTGCTCAGCGCCGGTGGGCTCGTCGCGGCCGCCGACGTCGCGTTGGCCGTGTTGTTGGCGCCGTCGTGGAGGATGTCGTGGTAGAAGAGCGTCATCTGCCTGCAAGGCTCGTCGGGGCTGCCGGAGACGAGCCTCCTCCGGCCGTCGGCGGCGGCCACGCCGAAACCGATCAGGAAAAACGTCGCGAGCACGACGACCCTTGAAGCTGCCGCGAGGCCTTGCATTGTTATCGATCGGTGCAACTCTTGCGTGCTATGCTTAGGCGGGCAAGCGGCTAGCTGGTCGAAGAGCTCGGCTCGTGCATGCTGCATATATATAGTGGCGTGGGGCAGACAATAATACTAGTGGGGTTGGTAATTCGGTGAAAAGGACCGACCCGGTAAAAGGGGCCGGCCGGCCTGCCATAAATCGGAGTGAAAAGTAACGGTAGCGATCAGACACACATGGCATGGTTGGTATAGTGTCGTTGTTCCAGCACCATGCTGGGAAAACTTGTGCAAAATAACATGCGGTTGGTACCATTTCAGCGTCACTTTGAACCTCATCAACAACTACTATTTTGTCACTGACATGGGAGCACCCATACGTCAGATACCTGCAAAAACCATTCATGTCGGTCACTTCTATTTCTAGCCATCAGGTCAAATATCCAACGGTCAGGAACGCACCGCCACTTGTTCATCTTCTTCCTTCTCTTCCCCGGCCTACCTAGCTGTAAGAGTTATTTACCCAGAACCATCACACTTGGGGCTAGGGTAACAACTTGGTACCACATATGAGGCAGAGCACAAAAAACCGTCAAAATTGCGCCTAATACGTAACGCGGTCACGCGGAGCATTGATGCTCAAATTTGGCCACGAAAACAGCGGATCTGACCAATTGGTCCCACCTGACGGGCCGATGTGACATGTCTACATGGACAATTTGCTGAGGTGGTCGAAGGCCCACCTGTCGGCCTCTCTCTTATTCCTCTCTCTTCCTCCAAGGCATCTTCTTCCCCATGACCGTGACCACACCCAGCCATACCCGCGCCGCCGCCGGAGCCTTACCCCGACGAGCCACCACCTGCGAGCCTCCCCGCCGCCCCAGCTACCTGTCATCCGTCGCCACAAGCCATTGGACTCCAGCCACACTTCCAGCCCTTGTCCCGCCCGGATCCGGCGAGGATCTGCCCCACCCCCAGCATGTCAGACTCCTCGCGGAAGCGGACAACTGCGACAGCTCGGCGGAAACGCTTCGGCACCCTTCCACCAGCGCAGGACGGCGGGCTTGTCCGACTGGTAGAGCGCGAGGGCGTGCACGGCCAGAGTCGACGGCGATTGCCGCAAACATCGGGTACACGCCGAGCAGCTCGGCGGGGCAGCGCGGCGGTGCTCGAGTACAGGAGTTGTCGGCGGTCCCGCGGCGATGTGCAGGGAGGCCCTTGGCCGCGCCTATGCTGGCGCGCGTCGTGGAGGGCATGTCCGACTGCATCGGCGAGTCCGCCATCGGCGTCCCCTCCGCCCGAGCCCACTATTGCCTTCACAGCCACAGAAGACTACCATGGGTGCCGCCCGAGCTTCTCCTTGCCGCAACTGCCTTGGGATGCTCCTCGGTGCGCCGCCCACGCGGCCTTGCCTGGTCGTGGCGTCACTCATGACACGCCCATAGCCTGTTTGCTGAAATGCCCATGAGAAATAAAAAGAAAAGGTGAAAAATGATAAAGAGTCATTGACAGGTAGGACCCTTTTGCCACCTCGGCGAATTATTCACATAAGCACGCCATGTCAGCCCAACAGGTGGGGCCAACTTGTCGGTTTCACTATCTTCACAAGTAAATCGGACAACCAGTGCTCTCCATTACGTATTAGACACAATTATGGTGATTTTTTGTGTTCTGCCTCATATGGGGTATCAAGTTATTACTTTAGTCCCAAGTGTGATGGTTTTGGATAAATAACTCTAGCTGTAACCGCCTGCCTCTAGCCCTCTGGGCAGGTGGCCTTCGCCCCCAGCCTCTCGACCTCCCCATCGTGGTGCTGGCCGTCGCTCTAGCCATCCCTCTTAACTCTTAAGTCCCGCCCCAATGAACAAATCCGACTAGATGTGCTTTAACATGTCACCAAACTGTACATTTTGTACGCAACATGATATCACAAAACTACAACACTACTCTTTTTAAGATAAAAGTTTAATGATATCACAAAACTACAACACTACTCTTTTTAAGATAAAAGTTTAATGATATTTACTCGTCAGTAACACTCGACTGTGACTTGGCATGCCAGCAATATTTGTCTTCGTTGGTTTGGCCGTACATACTGGCATACTTGCACCAGCTTTAGAAAAAAAAATACTGCCCCAGCTTTAGAAAGGCAAATGTTGACAGTGAAGCAAATAGCCCCAACAATGCACTGACATTTTTTAATGTTTTTTGAAAAGGAGGTTAACCCCAAGCCTCTGCATTATTGCGATGCACCCAGCCATAAGATATCCACTAGAGAACAATGAAGCATGAACATTCTCGTTGTCATCTAATATTACTAGTGAAACTCTACCATGTCCACAGCTTCATTCACCATTACTACAGTCACTAAGATGGTAATACTCTCACATACTACTGATATCCAAATACAACAAGGCAACACTGCCCAATCCCGGCCGGTGCTGCCATACAGACTAACCCGACACCGCATTTGTTTACGACGGTGATACACGGCAGGACCAATCCTGTCAAGAAACAACAAAAGCATGCGCTTGATCACACTGCGACACGTTGGTCTATCCGTCAAAACCTGCGGCTTTTCGGGCTGGGTTGGGCTTCTGTGGAAGTGCTGCACCGCTTGAGGTAGGTGTCAAGCGTCTTCTGCTTTGAGGGGCTTGGTCTCGTTTCACTCTGCGAGACGTTCAGCGTTTTCTCCTGCCCATCCAGCATCTGGTGACAACAGAACATCGCATTGTCAGATCCATTCATGGCATATCAACCGTTGACATGAGAAACCTCAATGGACATTATAACTGCCGAACAGTTTCAGGGTAATTATAACTAAAATCACTAGAAAAGCCAACAGAACATGGCTATCGTTATGCGCTTATGATGAAATGAAATGTTGGTTATCGTAGCAGAAAATAGTTTGCAAGTGCAAGGACAGAGGAAAAGAGGGACAAATAGCAGACCTGCCCCAAATTCTCAAGTTTGCCTTGAACAACATCCCTGCAGAGCAATAAAAGTGGAAAAGACACTTCAGTGGATGATCTTAAGTATAACAGTTGTGTAATGAAAAACAAGATTCAGGCATACCATATAATATCATCTACTGTGTCGTTTGCGAGAAGGTAATATATGTTCACCGAAGAAACCTGGAAATTTGGGAAGAGAACAAGAGAAAAAAAAAATGGTCAGAAAGGTGGACCCACAAATTATCAACTGCAGAAAAGCCACGCATTAGGCTAGAACAAGAAATGTGATGTTCACCTGACCAATCCGGTGGGCACGATCCTCTGCTTGAATAATGTCACCTGGAGTCCATGATAACTCAGCAAAGATAACTGTACTTGCTGCTGTCAAAGTTAACCCCACACCTCCAGCTTTGATGGATAACTGCAATGTTAGGCTTCCATGAGGTTACACACAATGAATAAACAGAACTTTCCCTCCAGAAATTTTACAACATGATGTCTGTGGTTGGAGCATTGGATTATGCTGTGTGATCTCAATTGTGACTTAACTACATCTGCTTTCAAATCTTCGTGATTGTTCGCCTTATTATTGAATATAAGGCAAACATATCTACCATGGCCTAGACTTGGTGCTCTCTTCCAGCTCTATAAGCACAAAGGCTTTCTTCAGAAAAAAGTCATAATTCACTGGCAGTTTCAGTCAGCATTGTGCCACCCAAGGATCATTTTCATGGGCAAGTGAACATAATGCACAAAATTAATAGGAATTAGCACATACCACTGCTGCCTTGATGTCATCCTTGTTCTGAAAATCCGTGACCAAATTTTGCCTTGCAGCTACAGGTGTTTGGCCATCAATTCTTATACATTTGACTTTCTTTTTCTGAAACACGGTAGTATGTAGGTATATAGTAGCTCCAGATGTATCATAAACAGGTCAAATCGAAATAAACTCTTAGGAACTTACCAAGAGATGTTGGTGAATAGCCTCAATCATGGGTTGATGGTGTGCAAATATTAAAAATTTGCAGTCAGCCTGACAAATAAAGCCATCAGTCAAATGTGAATGACTTGATAAAAGACATATAAAAGCCATTTCACAGAGGGCTTCTCCAAATCCTGGCTGGGTGATGATTATGCCATACTAGCTAAATTCCCATACTTTGTTACCGATAAAAAAGTAATTGATCAATTAAGATATTATTGTCAACTAAGCTGGATTTTCCCTAGGCGCGGCTACTATCCCCCCCCCCCCGGCGTCATGCTACATTTTCATTAGAGATTTTTCAAGAGGTGGTTAAGTTAGTCTGTGAGAAAGCATCGTTCTATTTTATTATAGTTCAAAAAAGCAGTAGGTGTTAATTGTGCGTTTTGCCACCGCCTTGGGCTTTACTGACCAAAGCGCATGCTTATGCGCAGTTATGCACAGATTAAGCGTAGTTATGCGCAATGCGTTTTGCCAATGCCTAGAGCCTAGGCACGCTTAAGCGCGCGCCTCTTCTAACTATGATTTTGTAGTTGGTTGAACTGTGGGAAATACCCCTTGGTTTTTTTAGAATAAACTTGACTTTCTTTTGCACTAATATATAAATTTTCATGAATAAAAACCAGTGTTGACTTCAGGGGAAAAAAATTGCTATTATAGGTCACTATTCACATTATTTTGGCCGAAGAATTGTTTTTCTTAAAGAAGTCAAAGGGGATTTTCTTTTTGTGGAATTTTTTTCACAAGTACAATGTTAGGTCAAGTTTATTTCAAAAATATTTTCAGAATTTTTTGACTTTTTATTTATTTATTTTTTCAATATAGGGTGTATATACACCCATAGACCAAAAGTTCCCCTCCGTTAAACTGTTATGTTTTGTCAGACTTTCTTGCATAGTGGGAAAGAGAGGTGAAAGATGTGGATGAAGTGAACTTTGCATCACCAGCTCCCACTTATAATTCACTCATTTAGTTCAGCTCAAACTAAAGTTACTAAACTGAAACAGGTAGGCTATAAAAATGGATTTTATTTTTCATATGGTATCATGCAAGTATGCAAGAATGTGGTCCCACCGAAGTGTGAGGCACACATAGTTCAATATAAATTAGTCAAAACAGTGGGGTTGTTATGGCGCTGCTAGAAGGAGGGTGCGAGAGGGCCGGCCGGGGGTCTTTTGCCCATGGCTGGACAAGATGGAAGTGATTTCCTTAATTCTTGCTTGATTAGATTGATACATCTCCTCTCTATATATAGAGAGGTTTACTTGACTCCCAAGCAAGGCTTACTTGACCCCTAAGCAAGCGACCCTTATCTCTAATTAACCCTAAGACTAACGGGCCCATTAGGCCCATTACGTACTCTAACACTACACCCCACCTGGACATGCAGCTTGTCCTCGAGCTGCAGCCTAACCAACTTATAACCATGACTCGACGCAACACAAACCTAACACCTAAAAACAAGCCTTTTACATCTCGGCTTGTTTTATTATTCTCAAGCTGAAATGGACTGGGACGCTTTATTTTGGACCCTTAACAAAAAGTGGACACCATCCGCACGTCGGACGCGCACGTGTACAGCCACCTGGATCCCATGGACACCACCTGGACCAAAGGAGTGCATGTGTATGGCCACCTGCAAGTGGTCACAAGAGCGACCAGCAGAGGCGCCCTCGCGGCGGCGGGCGGTGGAAAACAGTGGTGCTACGCGGTGCGCTCCTGTCAGTGACACCCTGCCTTCTCCCCGTCGGACGGCTGTTGGTCTGCACCGCACAGGGAAGAGTGGAGGGCTTGCGATGGAGAATGACGAGGAGGGGTGCGCCCCCCTCCCCCAACTGCCGATGTCGCAGACTTTGAGGTCACTGCCCGTGGGGAAAACAGCATGCCCGCCGCCCGTGGGGGAAACCGCATGCCCAAGATCCCCAACGCAGCGGACGAGATCGAGGTCCTTTGCGCAGCGAAGGGCAACTTGGAGGAGCGGCAGCTGCAGACCACGCATCTACCGCACACGCCGACGCGCTAGGAGGCCGCGCGCAGCAGCCTGCAGCCTCACCGCCGCCGACGCGTAGCGATCCAAGACAGAAGCGGTGATGGCGACGGCGGGGACTTGATCTGCTGGATGTGGACGCCCTGGGATGGCGGCGACGCTGATGGGAACGAGGTCGTCGCAGTCCCGTCGTAGGGCATCCCATACTGGGCGGCGGAGCAGACCGGCGGTGGCTGCTGCAGCTGTAGCGGCTGCTGCGGTGTCGCGCAGGGCGCGGCGGAGGCCGCCAGGAGCGGCGGCTGCCACTGCAGCCAGGGCTGGGCGGTGGTGGCGATGGATGGCAGCTGCAGCGGCCCGGTGAGCGCGGCGAAGGCCGCTTGGTGCGGCGGCTGCCACTGCAGCCACAGCGGCGCGGGGGCGGCGATGGGCAGCCCAGCCAGGTGCAGCCCGTAGGACACGGCCAAGAACAAGTGGATCTCCTGGACCACCTGGGTTAGGTCCTGCAGCACCCCGGACACCTCCTCCAGGGTGAGGACGGCGGGGACGGGCACGACGGAGGAGCGGGGCGACGGTCGTGGTGGTCGCCGGAGGCGACGAGGTGACCGGCAGCGAAAGAGACGGGCTTGGCGGCGGTGAAGACATGATCGAACCAAAGCTAGCTGATACCAAATTGTTGTGGCGCTGCTAGAAGGAGGGTGCGAGAGGGCCGGCCGAGGGCCTTTTGCCCACGGCCGGGCAAGATGGAAGGGATTTCCTTCTTAATTCTTGCTTGATTAGATTGATACATCTCTCTTTATATAGAGAGGTTTGCTTGACTCCCAAGCAAGGCTTACTTGACCCCTAAGCAAGCGACCCTTATCTTTAATGAACCCCAAGACTAACGGGCCCATTAGGCCCATTATGTACTCTAACAGGGGTGTCTACTTCAGCTAGCCAAGTTATGATACTCAATTTGGAACCAAAAACTGGCAGCAAGTGGGCAGTTCATGACAGTTTTATCAAGTCTGGTCTTATTAGAGTAGCTAAGAAGACAATCTACAAATATCTCATTTAGTTACCTCAATTACAGTGGCCAGGTAATCAAGCACTGCTGGAATTTTGGCATCAGCCGAATCATTATAGATCTGCAATTAGGCATGAAATATGAGCACTGATACCAATAATAAATCACTTTAAGAGATTGAAAATACAAGCATGTGATAGTAAATGATATAACAAGAACTGTGGAGAGAATTATTTATTCTATTTCAAATGCATGTTCTCAATGTATCTTCATGTTAGGCGCATATAAGAATATTAAATATAAAGATATGGCATAAAAATATGTTCCAAGGTATTAGCTTCACCACATTAAAAAAGGAAAAATATGACCTCAATAAAGGAAGAAAATATGGTAAAATCTATGAATTTACTAACGACGAACCTAAAACCCTATCCCTGTGTTGAATTGCTCCTAATATTGGATGAATGAAGATGAAAGTCGAAATCAAGTCTAACAGATAACACTGTAAATCAAGTCTAACAAATAACACTGTAACTGCATGCTATTAAATGCAGATAGAAAAAGAATTAACTATCCTCATGCAAAGCAATGCAGTTGAGCTGCATCAATTGTTGCATCAAATAGGCATCAGTTATATATAAATTATATAAAAAATTAACTATTTAATTATAATAAAGTTGCTCCTAATATGGGCTAAGATAAAAATGCAGAAGTACCTACCAAAAAAACTGCAAAAGTATCTATTAATTTGTCATTCCACATTCTAAGGCAAAAACTTCAACTAGAAAAATAAAAACGCAATTGTAAATAGTACTCCCTCCGTTCCAAAATATAGTGCTTCCTCTATCCCCGTGCTTCAACTTTGACCATAAATTTAACCAACGAGACCGACTGCAGCGGGAGCAAAAGTTGTACCAGTGAATTCGTATTCAAAAGAAGTTTTCAATTATATAATTTTTTCTCCCGCCGCAGTCGGTTTCGTTGGTTAAATTTATGGTCAAAGTTGGACCTCGGGAAGCGTGGGCGCACTATATTTTGGAATGGAGGGAGTATCTCTTCACATGCCTAGAAAAAAAGTAAATCAAATACGGCAACAGTGCATTTTTCCTCTATTTTATGCGGCTTAGTTTACTAAGTTCACAACAGAAAGGTAGAATGTTTCAAGTTCATCAAGAAAAAAAATTCAAAAAAAAGTTCATCAAGAAAATGATGACCAACTTTAGAAGTTTAGAGTAGCATACAGGCATACAACATATACATATTCAGATTACCTTATTGATAATATTCTTTTGATTAAATTTCAGAGAGTCGATCATCTCCTGTGAGTCACATGACTGCATTTTGATCTTGACAGTCTCCAACTACAAAAAGACAAACCACATCATGACTCTGGCACTAGAATATTACCTTATCATATAATGATCTAACCATAAAACGATGGACTAATCTATCATATATAATATCTCTCTTTTCTTTATTAAAAGACGAAGCTTAACTATTTAAAACATCCATATATATGGTTGACAACAAATAGTACGCAACGAAGAGACCCATAACATTTTTGTTAGCTTCACTTGAGAAAAAGATCATAAAGTTTCAACTTCAATAATTTCTGGTGTATAAATCAATCATAAAGTTTTTACTTTGATAATTTCTGGTATATATGAATCAAATGTCTCACTGGATAATAAAATAAGTAGAGAGGACAGGCTGTCCCAGCACCCATATAAAAGCTCTTCATTAATCCAAAGAATTAAGTCCAACAATCAAACAATGTGGGTAGAAGTACCGGCGCGTTGAGCTACCAAGAAGTGATTACAAGTTTTCATATGCTATGACTACAAGTCTACAGGGTATCATTCGCAGGAAAAGATAGTACATTAAAGTAATACTAACATACTGTACCTCACGAAAAAGAGCGCGGATATGTTTCATCTCTTTCTCACTTAAGTCTAGAAAGACCTGAAAAGATTGGCAACATGCAAACATTAGGAATAGATGTTAAAGGAATACATACAAGATCGATACAAAATCTTATTTCACTGGTAGTCAAGGTTCCACATATTCTGTATAGATAAATAAGAAAAATTGAGCATTTAAAAGAGACAACCAAGTCAACAGAAGAAGGCCCAGAAACAATTGGAGTTGGTGATTAACAGATCTCATGCAAATCATTCTGAATTGTTTATCGTAAACTTTGATGTAAGGCAAAATGAAATTTTGTAGATACAGTAAGTTCAGTTCTGTTTTTCATCTTTATCTCGGAAATAAACCCAATGAGGTTACCTGTTGCCTACGCTTAACAGGCAACTCCGAAAGAACATCTTTCTTCAACCTGCGTATCATGACAGTTGCTTTCATCAAATTATGCAGCTCCTCATGATTGCTAGCGCCTTGATATAGCCCAAAATACCCCTGGGAAAGAATCACAGTAAATAGTCATAATTGGTGACAGAAAATGAAGAAAGCAATTTCGTTAAGCTAGTACTTACACCTTTGCAGTATCTAGTGCCATATTCATTTACATTCTTGTAGACAGTAGGATATAACGCCTGGAGCTGCAAAAGTAGAGAATTAGTTGCTTCTCTACGGTGGAAAATTTCCTGTCGTCAAGTATGTGCAACTAAATCTCAAAACAGCCTGTACCTGAGTAAATAACTCGATGGGGCGAGATAAGGCAGGCGTTCCACTTAGCAAAACCACATATTGGGCTTTCTGTGAGTATGAAGTCACAATTGATTAATTTTGTTGATATTGTCATGTAATTTATCTTTTAGTACGCTGTAATTAGGCAAGAAATTGATCGATGGAATGAAACCCGAGAAAGCACAATATATCCTAAGGAACTGGTGGCATTAACGGGAAAAAAATATTCAAGGTCACAGCATGTACTCTCTCCATTTCACTGTAAATTTGTTCACACCCCACCATGCACCCAGACCAAGGAAGCACCAAGTCTAAGAAACATTTAATGAGAGAAATGACTGTGCATAGCCCCAACTAAGTGACACACTACAGCTACTTAACAATAATCTAAAATGTTTTAGTATGATAGAGAGCAGCAACATTGCAATAACTATACACATAATTCCCTCGATGGATGAACAATTGGAGACAGAGACATGAGACCCTCGAGGTCATGGACAAATGTAGCAAAACGAAAGAAGAAATTCTAATGAATGTTTGGAAATTCTGGTCATCAGAAGGGCTAGTATGAAATAACTAGGCAAGAACACCAAATGATCAAACTGTGAGCGGCATTTGGTTGGGATAAAGTGATGCAAACTACCCAAATTTATCCAACCTATTCAACCAAATTAAACTGTAACAACGTATACAAAGAAATTTCTGCTCCAGAAATAAAACTCGTTCCCCCATAAGAGACATCAAACCTGCAGAACAGGAAGTGAAGCGATTGTTCTCTTTGCTTGGCCATTCTTCAGGAAGTGTGACTCATCAGCTATAACTATCTGAACGAAAATCATTCAAAAGCAAGTATAAATGGATTATGAATAGCAATATTCTGAGTTCATGGTAATTAGGACACAATTACGATAGAGGTCAGGTTGCTATATTCACAATACAGAGTGAAGCGAATATCCATATGATGGGGGTACAATGGAACATGTTTATCCTTTTATTTTCCATTGGCAAGAAACCTAATTGATGTGCTTGCATACGGAAGCACCAACCAGAGTCAACAAATGCATCATCACAAAATGGAACTTATCAGTTTCTTCGCAAGGTTTAGATGGAACTCATTTGTCAGTCCCATAGGTGAAACCTCAATCCCTTAAGTACTCCTGATTTAATGAATTGGGGTAAATTATAATTAATGCTGCCAACAGGCTACAGTGCTCTCAATACAATAAAATTCTTGAGACATCAAATACATTGGTTGCTCTATTCGATGCTAAATGGCGTCCCTAAAACAATAACTAAAAAAATCTTTATAAAAGCAGTCTTTCATCTACATGCACGGCCTTTCCCGTCTACTTGAAATCTGTGTAATCATGCTCATTACTTCAGTGTAAGTGCAAATGCTGGATGCAGGATTATGCCTGCAATCAATCATATGGCTGGGTGCCGTGTCAGTCATTTGGTGAAAGAATTAAAGTTTCATACTCGAATAAGTTATTTTGCAGCTATGGCAGGCTGTGCAGCACACACACCACCCTTTCCAACGAGCCAGACCAGCTGATCTGGAAGTGGTCTGCCAATGGCACCTACTATGCAAACCAGGATCAATGCTGGACCGCTGATAGGCTTACTTGCCATGGACTCCAGCACCATCCCCGCTGCCTCACCAAGTCCCGGAAACTATACAGCATCTGCTGCTGGACTGCCCCTTCGCCTGCCACACCTGGCATGAAATCCTAGCTTGGCTCAGAATGACGATCCGTGCACCAAACCATGAAGCTACACTAATGGATTGGTGGCTGTGTGCAAAACAGGACACGCCAACGCTGCAACGCAAGGGTCTGGCATCTATCACCCTTCTCGTGCCTTGGATGGTCTGGAAACACCGGAACGAGTGGTCTTCGAGGGTGCCCAACCTTCAATCGCTACACTAGTTGGCATGATCAAAGACAAGGCCTCCTCCTGGGCAAAGGCTGGCGCTCGAGGGCTGAGGGTTGTACTGCCCTCAAACTGGGATGTTCCTTAATTTTCTTTCATCTTTTTTGTACCCTGCACCTCCTCGGAGGATTGTAACTGAACTTTTGCCTTTTCAATGCAAAGAAAGGCAAAGGTATTTTGCTTTTTCTAAAAAAAAAACAAGTTATTTTGCAAGAAATCTGTGCTGTTGGTTCATGTGTTCAGTTGCTAAATGGTAAACAACAGCCTGTGTACTGGGAAGTAGGAACACATTCTGTGGAAATTTAAAATCACACAGCCCATATCCATGAATGAAACAGAAGATTAGATGAATCCATACCTTAAAATCCAAGTCCAGAAGAGTGCTTTGTATCTTGGGGACTACATCATAAGATATGACATTGAACAACCCATCCAAGTGAAAATCTCCTTTGGTATTTGAATACACCAATCTGAATCCTGCCTTATTTGATCCTCCAGTTTGTGGTAACACCACCTGAAAAAAATGTTGTTGATATCCATGGATAGAAGGAAATAAGATGTATATAGTCTGTTTCCTTAAGATTTGTCTAGCTATGTAAATTTACTTCCGCAACAAATTCCAATTATCAAAAAACTTCCGTATGATATGAACTACTCCCTCCGTTTCTAAATAGAAGTCTTTTTAGAGATTTCAATACGGACATATATAGATGTTTTTAGAGTGTAGATTCACTCATTTTGCTTTGTATGTAGTCCATATTGGAATCTCTAAAAAGGCTTATATTTAGGAACGGAGGGAGTATTAATTTGCAGTACAACTACCATAAATGTGGTTTAGTTGGGAACTGCTCATGGTTTAACAGTTCCTTCATTTCTTCAGCGAGTGACACCATCAACTGTAGCAACTTATCACCTTGTGTGATACTAGAATTTGCAAACAATAGAGCACTAGACTACACAAAACGTGGGAGTAACATCAGCTTCTTATAGCCAGTGCTTTGAAGATAATTTTTTTATAATCTGATGCTACAGTCTATTCATGTTCGTCTGAATGGCATAAGAAGTTAAAAACACTTCAAAGAAAGTGCAGGGTGAAAAGTAAAGAGTTAAATTTTGTTCACGTAGGAAATGAAATATTGGAGCAACATATGTTCAGAAAATATGGCCTTACATTAAGAGATGGTTATGATTATGCTCAAATATGGTTAAGGGGAAGAATATGAATAGAATGTTCAACATAGTAAAAAAAAGTGTCCATCCTTGTTCACCTGACCACGCAAATCAACCTATCATTGAAGGAAACAAACATGCAAGACGTATGATGTTTTTTCTATGTGCCACAAGATCATGTCCAATAGAAATAAGGGGCAGATTCGCTGTGGAAAGAATTTGACACAAGTACATTTCCTGGTAAACCAGAAATGGGGAAAGGGATTTAGAACAATTATGAAAATCTAGTTAAGAATATTTATGATCAAGCAATTGATGTAGGTCAGTAGGTGAGAGATTTTAAGAGCAACCAATCCGAAAGAAGTGTTTACACTGAAAAAAAAAGAGGATATACCAAGATATCTTCCGTAGGGATGTTAAGCCACTGCTGAATCATCTGTTATAATCGCAAAGCAGCAAATTCAAATCCCCCTTGAGGATAAAGGAAACTGCTGTTCAAATATAAATATGAGTTTTACAAGTAGGAGATACTTACAGAAGCCCAATGTAATCGCAATGAAGATGGAGAGATAACAAGAACTGGCCAGGCATCATGAAGGCAAGAAGCAACAGCAATTGCCTACATAGAGAAAAGGCAACAAAAACAATGCCTGAAAGATTTGACGTTGTTGTCTTGTGCATTTTCGCTCGCCAGGTTTGAAAGTTACTGACTGCATGCTGCCGAGCAAAACGAATGACACAAATCCTTCCCCTGGGCGAGACGGTCATGTGCATCTGTATGTGTGGCGATCCTTTGCTATTTTTTCAGGGTGTGTGGGTGTGGCGTGCGTTTGGGGCGGGGGTATTTT